ACATAACGATGCACGATGCCATTGGCGCACCCTGATCTCGGAATAGCCGCAAGGACCAGCAGGCTGTGGAACTCCTTTACCAGCCTCGGTCTTCCCTGACAGTCCCAATATGACTAAGTTCAAGACTGCTGTAAACAGTTTCTTGGAACACAGGAGAAAAGTAGCCAGTCTGAGTACCTTTTACCGGCACATCTTCCTGCAACCCTCAGAGGAACTCACTGGAATTCTGCCGACCAAAGTATCTGGGACGCGAGTAACTCGCTTTTAAACCACAAGTGGGCACCCATACCTTGTTAAAGTGCCAAAATCCAACACTCAGCTTCACATGTCTTCATATGTACCAACGGCTATTCCGAGATCAGGGTGCGCCAAAGGGTTGCACTTGGGCCAATTTTTCAAGTTTTATATTTTTCTACTTTCAGTGCAGAAAATCGCACTAGAGGTGTTGCCATACATGGCACTTTTTAAATTTTTGGATAGAGACGTTCAGTTCAAAAGTTGTGCTCTTCCAAACTTTAGCCCACTTATTTCAAATGTGGCCAGTTTCTTGTTGAACTCTTAGAGATTTTCTAATTTATGACAATTAATTATGTACCATGCAATTATGTATTATGTATAATGTATCTGATAATTTTGGGATCGAATGTTCTGTGCACTCAAGCGAGGGGGATTGATGTGACATTATATTGAACTGAAAATCATTGATATACGATATTAAGACCATGTTCACTTTGCACTGATTAGAAAAAAAAAAGATATTCAACAAGAAGCGTACAAATCCCCCAGATTTACTTCTCCATGCAGCTGACTAATTTGCATCATCCCTGTCCTGACTTCCCCAACTTGTTTTCATGCAATGATAATTTTATCCGTGAGTGGGTGATTTTTTTTAGGGGGGGGGCGTATGGAAGATGCAATTTCTCCTGCAATCTTGATGCTGATTCATTGGTTTACAGAGTAATAAAGAAAGGCATGTCCAAAAAAGGATTGTTTTTATGAAGCAATGCGTCATTGAGAAGCAATGCGTCATTGAGAAGAAAATGACACTAAATTTGGTATAAAGCAATGTGAAATAGAAATATCTTTGAACACAAAATTGGTTTATTTAATCAAAATGCCAAGAGGAGGACCTGA